ATGGAATGAAAGTTGGAGTTGCAGTTAAGCCTAAAACACCTATCGATGTTATATTTCCTTTGGGTCATAAGATTGACATGTGTTTGATAATGACTGTTGAACCTGGTTTTGGTGGTCAAAAGTTTATGGCAGAATGTATGCCAAAGGTATGTATAATATTGGTTACGTAGGTTATTATACGGTTTATATTTGAGTTTATATATGTTGTAAGTGAGAATGAAATTTAAGAATTTCTTAATAAAATTATAATTTTAGGATAGAATTTATTTTGTATAAACCCTTTATCCCCTAACTCTATAACCCTATGACCTTAACTCTATGACCCTAACTCTATGACCCTAACTCTATGACCCTAACTCTATAAACCTAACACTATAATCCTAAATTCACTTTACAACATATATATAATTATTTGAAAAACTAAATTATTAAAAAGTTAACCCGATAATTAATGGATTAAATTTTAATTTATAGGTAAAGGCATTAAGAGAAAGATTTCCCGAATTAAATATAGAAGTGGATGGAGGTTTAACACTTGACACAATTGATGAAGCTTCTAAAGCTGGAGCAAATGTGATTGTGGCTGGGACATCTATATTTAAAGCTAATAATCCTAATGAAGTAATTAAAACATTTAGAAATAAAGTTACCGCCGAGCAAACTAAATATTCAAAATTAGATCAATAAAATTTTTATTGTTTATGAGATTTTGAAGAAATTATTTATTAATATAGTTTTTTTTTTCTTATAAAATTTTTCGAGTAATTAAAACAGATGAATGAAATTGAAAATGGTAAAGATCTGTAAAATGATTATTGAATTTCAAGAATATGAGATTTATATTTGATTAGTGAACGGATTTTCTAGATATTAATTTAAATTTAGTATTTTTATTTGATCTAATACTTTACGGAACAAGTCAAACACAATGTTTTGTCGGAATATCTAAATATACTTAATGAAAATATTCACCCGGGTATTATTAAATTAGCCGGGCTATCGGTTTATATATTTCGAGTAGTCGTATAAGTAGTCATATAAGTAGTCATATAAGTAGTCATATATAAGATATGTAGTCATATATGTAGTCATATATGTAGTCATATATGTAGTCATATAAGTAGTCATATATGTAGTCATATAAGTAGTCATATATGTAGTCATATAAGTAGTCATATAATAATGATTTCTAGTCGGGTCCAACCAGTAGACAAAATGAATCGACATTTTAATCTAGCTAATACAGTAATACGATTACAGTAATACGATCATCTTGTTTCAAAAAATAGGGAGACAGTGAAATATGAAGATTATAGTATGAAGAATTGAAGAGTATGAAGGCTTGATAATATTGATATAAAATTTTTTTTTCTATGAAACATATGTTAGTGTTATAAAATTTAATACAGTAAATTGGGTAAAGAATTTACATAGTTACATATAGTTACATACAATTGAATAGCATACATTTGAAAAGCAATGTACTTTGAAGAATTACACGACATCTCGGGAAATTTACGATTAATTAAAAAAAAAAAAGTTTTTTTAACTAAATTTTAACTAAACATGGTAAAATTGATAATCTATTAAGTTTTCGGCACGGTTTTAATTTTCAATGCAACTTTCGGCACAATTACTTTTTTATGACATTTATTTTCAGTATAACTTTTTCGACATTTAGTTTAGCACTTTGTATCGGAAAATATTAATTGAATAAAGCTTGTAAAAGATTTACAATGTTGATCATGCATGTAGGTCATCTTAAGCAGGACGTGAAAAGATCTATGAATTTTTTTAGTTTCATACTGTAGTAAAATAAGAAATGAAATTCATTACCATATAATTGAATTATATTTATGATTCTATGCACATTATCCTAAGATCTAAGATAATTTACGTACAATGCTGCAATGAAGAAATAAGATTACATATAATAAACACAAAGGTTCTCACACTAACGTACGCGTTATATTACGTGAAGATACGTTACTACGTTACGTACATGAAGATATCAATATCTGATATGTTGAAGATTTTAGGTGAGATACGTTACGTTACGTGAAGAAGATACGTTACGTGAAGATACGTTACGTTACCTGTTACGTTACCTGTTACGTTACGTGAGATACGTTACGTGGATGCGTTACGTGAAGAAAATACGTTATATAACGTGATAATTTCATAAATTTTATTGGTTGAACCAACTTTATAAATTTTATTGGTTTGAACTTTTATAAATTTTATTGGTTTTGCTAACAAATACGTATTTAAAAAAAAAT